CAGACATGCACAATCTCACACCGGGGCCAGTTTTCCGAGAAGCCAATTAACCTACAAGTATGTCTTTGGACTGTGGGAGGAAACCGGTGAACCTGGAGGAAACTGACACAAACACAGGGAGAACATACAAACTCCACCCAGATAGCACTCCAGGTCTGGAATTAAACCCAGAGCCGCAGCAATGCTAAACACCATGCTGTATAAGTATACACTGATACAGTATCACTTGCAGTCTGTCTCTGCTTTACTTTTGACATGATAATGTCCATCTAAATTGAACTAGACAGTGTTACTCAAGAGTGTGGCATGTCGGTTAGCACCGTGGCCGGAACAGAACTGTATTGAAAATGAATGGATGGGTCAACCCTTAACTTAGATGTGTGGTCTAATGTGACACTGCAGGTTGTACAAAACGAAGTTCCACTATGAATATGCAATGGCGAAAGTTAGCATTTTTCATGAAAGCCCTAATAATTCTTGCAGTTTTGTGACTATAGTGGGTTGTATACAGTTATATACTGTACAGCGAATATCTACACTTGCTGTAACTAAAAAGACATGTTGAAACTCATAATCCTGTGAAAGAATTTTATCTGAACAAAAGCTTCAATAGAGGTGCTGAATCAATGTTGGTAAAGTCTTTGTATTAAGTAAGGAAAGAATTTAGAAAGTGTGCGCACAGCATAAGAACCTGTTATTGCAGTACTATGCATGATAGATAAGTCACTTCCTATCAAGAAAATGTATTTAACTGGTACAGGAGGCACCCCCTACACTTACACCGTGTTAATTTATACTGAAATTCTTCACAAATATTGGAACTTCTACCTTTCTGAATAAAATAAACTTCATGTAACAATTACAAGTTCTTACAAAAAGCAGGACAGAACATTAATATTTACTGAGCCCATACTATTTTTCTAACTCTAGATTGAACCCTAGCATTGATACTAACAGTAGTTAAAGGATTAATCTGAGGTACAAATCTTTTTAGAAAAAAATTCTCTTATCCAATTACATTGCTAGCCTTAACTGTAGTTTGCCCTAGCCTAGACGCAAACTTAATCCTACAGTAACTCTAACACTGTCACTAACCTTGGCTCAGACCCTAATCCTAATTCAAATTGTCCTATAGCAAAAAAACCCTAGCTCAAATATTAGGTTTAACCCGGCCCTAATACAAACCAATTTCTATCCTAAAATGTAAATATAGCTATAATGTCTTTGCTGTTAAAATGTAATGTTTTAATTGTCACTGAATATATGCTGTAGATCACATACTGTCCAGTATTAATCAAATAATGAAATGGATAGAACGTGGCAGTAATTTATAAAGAAAGAATTTCAAATGGTCTGCTGTATAGATTACATGGCACATTTACAATTAAATTCGTCCAGGTTTACCATGGTTACACTACATTTACATGTACAGTGACACTGAAATTGTAGCTCATTATGAACAACACAATTACAATTGCAACTCACTTCAGGTTTGTCCAGTTTTTGGTACGAAGCAAACACATACAGCACCTGATGATTCATACAAGCATGTTTCCTTAGTAATGAACAGAGAGCTGTTTGTTTCGGTATGGTGCAATGGTTTATAGCAGAAGTTTAAACGTCTATGCCGATAGCGGTGCATCTCTGCAGTGTCTGTGTTTTCATTGCCATGTCAACACGAGGAGCACAGGGGAACAGGAATGTGAACTTGAGGCATGCTGGGTACACAGCAGGACAGCTACTGACTGATCTAAGGGCTCTGCTCCCTAGACAGCAGAGGTAAGAAATTCCCATATGTTCAGACAGCTGCATATTTGAATTGTAGAGTGAAAGTAAAGTCTGCCACTGCCAGAAACGATTTACTTTATAGTTTGTAAAATAAGAGACACATTTAACTTTGCCAGCATCCTAGTAATGTCCTTTTTTGTTATATCTAGTTCAATATACAAAACTTCAATGCTGGCAACAGTTTTACTGGCCCTGTAAATAATGTGGATCGAAGGCAGGCCTGCCCTGACACTTTGTGAGTTTTCCAGATGCTCGTGCACCTGGTAACACATTTAAAAAGCTGCCTCTGTTATGCTTCCTTGCTTTAGTTTGAAACTGAGGCAAACAAGTTTCATTTTCACTACATTCAGCAATTTACATTCATCTTCATTTGAGGGATGACTCGTAGGAGTCACAATATTTTCATATTCAAGATAAGGAAACAATCCCGTTCTTCATAAAAAACAGGTCTTAGAAATTGTACTAAAGAAAATTTGGTAAAAATTAAAATGAAAGGAAAAATTGTATTATTGTTGTAACATACAGTAACCACAAAACAAAATTAGTTCAGTATGTAAGCATAAGACCAAAATGAAAAATCCTCACAAAATTGATTTTGAAAGTGAATACTCAAGAAATCTAAATAAGCCCTGGATTAGGGTTAGGGACAGCTTTCTGCTGGAACTCCAAGACATTTTTTTTTTCATATTATTCACAAGCCATTATAAGGTTTTTATTTGTAACTAGTTATATATTCACTTTTTTTAACAGATCAACATTGGAAAAAAACATGACCACTGATAGTACTGTCTTCAAATCTTGTCAAAAGTTAACATTTTGAAATAAAACCAAATTTAAAAATAAAAGTTATTAAATATCAAGTACAAAACACAACTCATCTCAAATGTAAATAAATGTACTGTATGTATATAATAATTGTTTCTCTTTAGGATTTCCAATGTGCACCACGTTGTTGAATTAAATTAAGAAAAACATTTATTTCACATTATTCATAAAGTGAAAAGGGCTTTAGTTCTAACTAAATTGTACATTCACTTTTGTGCAAACCAATAATGGAGATAGAGTATAGGTTATAGTCATGTATGCCCATTAATAACAATTTCACCAAAGTGAACAATTTCACTTTCATGTCGCAAAGTTTAAATTTTAACAGAAACCCAAACAAGAAGCATAATATGTCTAAATAACAATGAGGAATCAAAAATAGAACTCAGAATGTAATCAGTCTAATACATTAATTGTTTACCTACTTATTGTGAAAACCCTAATCTCGAAAGCTACTAATCTTAAGAAGTTCTGGTTTAAAGTGAGGGTTAGGTTTCCACTTAAAATACAGCTTGAAAACATTTATTTTACATTATTCACAATGCCATAGGGTTTTAATGGTATTTTATCTGTGAATTCACTTTTATGTTTTTAATATATCTGTATATTCACTTTTTAAATGTTATTCTCTCATTTGTTTCTGTTTTAAAATGCTTAAAACACAAGTCAGTTCCAAGCCTAACATGTCCTCTTAATGTACTGTATCTGTAAATGTAGCTCACCAATACTCCTCCTTAAACCATTAGAATTACATACTGTATAGTCGCATAACAAATTTAAGAAATAATCACATGATTATTATTTGTTTTAATTTTCTTTTGTATTATATTAAAAACATAAGAAATTATTGACAAAGATTTTCCAAAAAAGGTTTTGAAAGTACTTATTAAGACTGTTGCCTGAATGTCTTTTAACAGTTTCCTGAAATGTTTTACTTCGTATTTGAATGCAATAATGATCACATGGTGAAGCTTTGCTTGCTCTATATTATTTACATAAAGTACTATAAAAAGCACACCTTAACTCTGCACTTGTTGAAGGATCAAGGATGTACTTTTGTAAGTAAACAAGTAAAGGTTTATTCCGTGCTGAAAAGAGAAGAAGAGAAACACAACATTTCAGCTGTGGAGCTTTCTTCAGGTGTCACACTGGGAACAGCTTGTTTTGTTCTTTGTAACGACACATCTTGTGTCAATCTAAAATGAACCATCTTAAATACTGTCTTGCAAATGTAAGGATGCATTTCATGAATTCAGCAGTTCAATGAAATGTGCAGGAAAAGGAACCATTTTTTATTCCAATGGTAAAAAAAAAAGCATTTAGAAAAATGTGACCCCGAGGGCTGCTTTATTTACTCAAGATAACTTTCTAGCAGCTCTAGCATAATAAAAATATTTTTTCTTGCTCCTTTAAAGTGACATGTTCCAGAGGAGAGACTTATGAGTGTTGTGGTAACTAGCTTTTATTGTTTTATGATTGATAGCCATTGGTCTATGCCCCATACTGCCAGCTGTGATGCCATCTCTTTTACGGCAAGATTCCCAGACAACAAAACTGTCTCTTGTTTGAAGGATTGTCAAAGATACAGTGCCACATTTCCTCAGGCACCTATAACTAAGAGGAAAACTATTAATCACCTCCCTTATGATCCCAGAATGCATTCTCCGATGTTCCGCTAATGAATGTTAAGTTAATCCTTAAAAGCATGGCCGGGATGCCATGCAATTCTAATTACAGACCAAAGATATGAAAATGAAAAAAGTGTCTAACAAGTATTCATTTGATTCTCAGTTGAGCTTTTTCGTTATCTGTTTATTTATTCATTTTATACCTCTGACAGAGTGAGCTGATAGGACTCTCATTCAGTCTGAGTAAATTTAAACTGCTTTTATTTGTATTGCTGTTAGATTTATTTACCACAAATAAAATGTATATCCTACAGTACCTCAATCACTTTCTTTGTGCAATCAATAAATTAATGAATGAATCTGAGACTTAATTTAACAGACATTAACAATCCCACAAATCCTTAATTACAATATACCTGAACAAAAATTCTGATGCTTCTGAATTTAGTTTTCTAGTTTGTGTATTAAAATTTCTGTACTTGATAGTGATCAAGAGTGACATGGTGGCACAGTGATAAACACTGGTGCCTCACAGCGCTGAGGCCCTGGATTCAGTTCTGGGCCTGGGATGCTCTCTGTTTGGAGTTTGTATGTTCTCCCCATATTCGCATGGGTTTCTCCAGGTACTCCTATTTCCTCCCAGTCCAAAGACATACAGTCTGTTCTGTGTAAGGCTTCTGTTGTGAATGTGTGCGTGTCTGTGTTTGTGTCTACAGTATGTGTGCCCCATGATGGAGTGGCATCCCGTCCTGGGTGTATCCTGTCTCGTGCACATTGCTTGCCAGGATTGGCTCCAACTCCCCTGTGACTCCCCTAGGATAAAGAGGTTAGAAAATGGATGAATGGATATTGATCGATATACTGTATAAACATCTCTAGCAGGCATTTATATGTTTAAGAATTAATACAAATCTAGTTAAATTGAACAGAGTAACAGTGGCTGTCAAAGTTCATATCTTGTGCTGTTTAGCATTTGTAAATTCATGTGAGATCCCTTATCTTAGCAACACAGGAAAACTAGATGCATTTAATAAGGCAAGATGCCAATATAATGTTTTTTCTATTTCTCAAATCTACTAATCCCCCTCATGTTTTTACTGGTGTCCATCATGCATATGGTGCTGCTTTTTATTTCTCTGGTGGTCTTGATAAATCAGCATTATGAATGCAAGGTTTTATAGAATAATATGCAGTTTCAGTGGGGAAATTAAAATTCATAACACAATGACAAGGTTGGCCTTTCACTGTAATTGAGCCTTCAGGGAAGGTAATATTAAAGAAAAAAGTCCCTAAAGACATTCAGAACAGCATTTATTTCACTTTCTGGAAAAATATTTTGTTATATCAGACAGCAAGAAAAATAGATGGAAATTTGAAACCACATAATAAAACTTTAATCAACAGCAATTTCATTTAACTCAATACCATCTATTTGATCAAAATGGGGGATGTTGTAGAGGAAAAAAAAATCAGTTCAACAAAGTGGCTCTCTGTGGGAAGAAAACCCTGGCTGCTTGATTACAAAGTTTTTTTTTTCTATGGGGTCACTCATTTCTTCTGTACAATTCTTTTTTAATGGCAAATTGTGTTGTAATCCATTGTTTCAAATACAATAAGTATACCACTTTTTATGTAGCTATTACACATTTCTTTTGCCAATGGATTAACACAATGACAAAGAAACTAATAGCATGAGTAGCACAGACTCTTTAAAGTGAAAAAAAAAACAACAGAAAAATACTGATTCCAATCAGTAGAGGATTAGAGTTTCTTATCAAGTGCATAACTTTTGTCAGCAGATCACTAACAATTAATATTATTGAGGAGACTGGTAGAAGGTGTTTTATATCCAATGTCTATACCTGGAAATAGGGTATTGTGCATATGCACTGTGCAAGAAACAAGTAACATGCAATCTTCATTGTCTTAAGTACTGTACATACTGTATTTTAAGGAGCTAAGGATACACTATGAGAACAGTTCATATAATGGGTGAAATATGAACTTTTTTAGTTTATGCCATGTGTCTGGCCCCATGTTTTCAAACTATCAGGCTGACAACATCAAACATGACAAAGGTCATCCACTTTACTATCCAAGCATCTCTCAGAAGATTGCCTGTAACTCATCCTATTTCTCACAATGCACATTTTACTAACATGGAATAATTCCCTAACACTAGCCCAATCTCCAGGGACCTGGGCATCTTTCAGGCCTTTTGACACCAATTTAAATTTTACCCCAAAGCAACCTGTTCTCAAGACTTTTACTTATCTGTACAGGTATATACAGTATGGTTTTGAAATACGTCCCAATTAGTGTTATTTTAGAATAAGAATTTTCAAACATTTTGATTCAACATTCAGATAATGAAGAGTTAGCAACAAATAGCTCTGGTGCATATTTTTCTCACTAAATGTACCTTGAAATCCTATCATTGTTTACTGCACCTAATGAATAAATTCAATACAGTGTAAATAGGACAGTTCTATAGGTTAGTCATTAGTCATTACACTACAGGATTCTCTGCCTCCATTTATTACTTATTCTTTTGATTAATTTGTGTATCTAGAAATATTTGTACAATCAGAATAGACACTAGTTTCAAAAATTCTCCCGTATACAGAGCATTCCCTCAGATGAAAGCCAATTAAGAGGGAAAAAAAACAACAGCTGCCTGCTCATTTGCCAGTTAGTTGAGTATTGGGGTTGCTTTAACATTTCTAGATGTAATCTGTATAAAAATAACAATGCAGTAGTGTCACTTCAAGAAAGTCACTTCAGGTAGAGAAAAAACAAGGGACATCCTGTAAATTAAACAAAAAAGGAAAGGCTGATAAACCTATATAGTATATGTACAGTATATGCTGTACTCTACAGTACCTGCAGTACATTGATTGTCACTATTTACTTTATCTGAGACTTGCTAGCCAAAGCAGAGCAGATAAGATTTGTATTCCTTCAGCAACAATGCTGCATTCAGACGCGATCCCCTCAACAGGCCAATGTTTTATTTTTTTCTAATGCTGCCCACCCACATTCTTATCTGGGCTTTGCTGCAGCATTGACCCTGTTTCATTCCTTTATACCTCCTAGACAGCAATCTGCAAATACCCACCTGCAACACACAAATAGCTACAGCCACATTTGCAGGAGTAAAAAAGAATCTTAAATTTAATCCTGATCATTGCACAGGCTTTGCGGTTTTGTTCAAAAGCTGACAAATTGATTTTATTAGCGACTCAATTTGTATTAATCCATTTAATTTAAGGTATCTCAGCAAGGGGAGAATCTATATGCAGTACAGCCTATCACCTCAGCAACCCACATAAATATATCTTTGACAACCTTATTATGCATTCCTGGGATATTAATGCACCCTTTTGTACAATCACAATATTTATTGGTCACCCCTGTCACATTGTCCGTGCAGCACATTCAGCATCAAAATCTGTGATAATTGTAAAATATGTCTGGATAATGTTGAGGTTCATTGCTTGGCTATTATTCATCTTTAATTTGGCAAATGCGTGCCGGAGCACACAAGCAACTGAGAAAAACAGCATGTGGAATGGGACTGCACAGAACTAGGAAAGACATACAAAGATGGTAAGGGTCACTGTTGTGAGAGGGCAGAGAATGGAACCCAAGCTGCTTTTCCCTCCCTCTTCCGCTGTTTTGAAATGTCAGACACATCATTCTTTATGGGATCCTCAGCACAAAACCTGCATCTCAATGGCCTAAGATTTAAGCCAGGAGAACTGAGACCATGTGACTCACCTTGAACTTTAAGCTGTGGCACTTCTCCATTTCAAAGGCCCTGGCTGCAATTTAACTGCCTAGACTGACTGAACCATATTTACTGAGAATTTATCACAGTTTAATGGACTATCATGAATGCTGTACAATTAGCAGATACAGAACCTGATGTTCACTGGGAAATTGCATTTTTAAAGACTACATGTCTGAAGTTTAATTCCTGTTCCCCCAGAAATATGTCTATTGAAGTAACCACACCATTCTATTAAAGAGCACCCTGCTCACATGATATGGAAGATTTGCATTTATCAATTTGATTATAATATTAGGTCGCACGTGGTAAAAGGTTGCTTAAAGGTTACTATCTTATCCTTTCTAAAAGTAATTGGTCTGGAAAATGAGTTTGTCCAATCTTGGTGTTTAATTGGAATTAAACACCAATATAATTTAAAGCAGTGTGAAGAACCTGCTGTTTGATTAAATATGTCCATAAACGCGTCTGCGGAAGAAACTCATTAGGCAACACATGTACTGTATTTATGCAGAGAAAAGTGAATAACTTATTGGTCACCCTACTTTTCTTCTTGTTTATGGGAATTAATGTGCATGCAGGTATTTGAAGAGGCAGTAAAAGGGAAGTTTTCTATAATCAATGCATTTATGCACGTAAGTTCTGTCTTGTGAAAACCCTTAAAAATGTGTAAGATTCACAAAAAACCATATTCAGTAATTAGATGCTAATCCTATTAAATTATGACTTCTAAATCCAAAATTCTGGAAACATTAACTGTACGTACTGTTTTGTCTACTATTTCAAAATTGTTACCTTTTAAAGTGGATTTTTGAAGGGCTATTGAGGAAACATTTGGATACAATGAAATTCAACAAGAACATTGCCAGTGATTTGTAAGTGGATTCTGTTATAATTAATATTATCTTCTCACAGTGTCCAGAGCTATTGTTTTCTTATTTTTCATACAATACAGTATATCTTATTTAAGGGTGGTAATAATTGGATAAAATTGGAACCACTGTGGTTAGCATAGCTGCCTCGCAATGTTGGGCCACTTCAATTCTTGGGTGCTCCCTGCAGGGAGTTTGCTCCCTGCAAAAGTCTCCCCATGTCCACATTGGTTCTCTCTGGGTGCTCCGGTTCCCTCTCACAGCCCAAGAGCATGCAGTCATCTAGAATGTGCATCAAAACTTGCATTAACAGAATGTTAATACTGTCTGTTCTGACTTACAGAATGTAACCCTTCACTGCCCAAAGAAGATCGATAGGAGGCACATGTGTAAGTGAATTTAATCTGTTTTTTCTTAGTCTAATAACAATATTTCTTGAAAATATAACAGATTTTGTATGTTATACAGTATAATCATAGAAAATTCACAACTCATCTAATGTTTAAACATGCAACATGGCTGCATACTTTTTTTTCTGAAAAGGGGAGCCTGGATAGGACCTTGTTTTTTATAATATTCCTGGTTTCACAGAAATGCTCAGAAAACAATGGATTTCATGGAGTGATTATAAACTAATCAAAACAAAATCGCCGCACAGTGAATCCTTAAGGTAATGCAGATGATAATTATACTTTAAGAATATATCATGGAGTACACAGTAGCTTTAAAGCATATTATATTTAAAAGCAAAGAAACAAATAAAAAAATAAACAAGATACCAAATTAAAAAAAGTTTTGAGCAGTGATTATAATGGCTTTGTTAAATACTGTACTGTCAGGTACATTGTACCTAATATATATCTACCCTTCTCTGCACTTAATTGATTTCTGTTTAAGAGCACCTTTAAATTACCTAACTCTCTCCGACCATCCTGGAGAGTGTTGGTCTTATGGTCCAGGGACTGGTAAAACAGGTTTTCTTTACTCCCCTTATGGCAAAGTTCTCACGTTTGCTAGCCCTAGTACACTTCTTGTGTAACAATTGACACAAATCTGGTGATAGTCTAATAAATGGCATTTTATTCCCAAGTCCCAAGGGGGAATAAATATGGTTGTGGGGAAGTGTTTTTTATAAGACTGCTTTAATGAAAATGTACTTAAACTAGAGAGGTTTGTCTGTAAAAATGTTTGTGAGCCCTGCTTTTCACCACAACAACACAAACATGCTTTTCATCCTCACATCATGTGTGTTTTGTTACTAATGACTATGAATCAGACTGTGTTAAATTAAAGTCAGTTCTGGTCAATTGTATTCAATTATGCAAACCAATCACAATTTTGATTGAAATAGTGATTCTACGTATTTATAATGTAGCTACTATTACATATATTATTAATACTTATTCAATATTAGTGTTAATAATTAATATTAACATATTGTGATACTTATTATATAGCTCCACTAAAAGAGCTTTAAAGGTAATGGGGACTCCCCTCCACCACCACCAATGTGCAGCATCCACCTGACGGCAACCATTGTGCACCAGAACGCTCACCACACATCAGCTATTAGTGGGGAGGAGAGAAGAGTAATGAAGCCAATTCATAGTTCATAGATGGGGATTATTAGGAGGCCATGATTGGTAAGGGCCAATGGGAAATTTGGCCAGGATGCTGGGGTTACAACCCTACTCTTTTCGAGAAACGCCCTGGGATTTGTAATGACCACAGAGAGTCGGGACCTTGGTTTTACATCTCCATCAGTTAGAAACTGTAGTACCCTTTTCTTCCTGATTGCCCTTGCTCCATTCTTCTGTTTTTTTTTCAAACCTGGCCAATTCCATGCAATGCATTGTCTGGATCGAATTAATTTGAATTTAATAAATGTTCTCAATTTAATATCGATTACATCCTCAATACAAACACATGACTTATAAAGCTATAGATAGTAAAAAAACACTTTATTAGAAAAACGTGTGCTTTTCCTTCCTCGATTCCCCTTACTACTAGAGCACACAATGTGTTTATTTGCTTTAATATAAGATTTGTTTATGAAGCTACTACGTACAATGTATTTTCTAAGTAAAATCTTAAATAATGTCTTAATAATTAATGATGTTTTCTTATTACTATTTATATGTGATTACTAATAATTCTATATACTGTATGTAGTTAAAAAATGATAATTCTATTTGTGTTGCATAGTAGGAGTGGTAGAAGAAGAAGCTGAAGAGTGGGGTGGAAAGCAAGAGATTGCACCAACGTCTGAGGAATGTGCAGGACTGGCAGGGGATGAAAGTAAGAGACGAAGAACGGAAGGTAACATCTGTGTCTAGAAAGAGCAAATGTCAAGTATGAGAAGGAAACACAAAAGGGGTGCTTGGCAGCTGAGCTATTTATGCTTAGGAGAGGCTGAGTGGAAATATTATTTGACCTCCTCCCAGACATTGGCTGTAACAAAACACAATAAATCAGATTAGAATTGGCTTAATTGGACCAATATAACAACTACTGCCAGCTCCGGTTCTGGGGCTTTAACAAACATGCAGGCACCAGGGCTAGATACTCACTGGCATTGGGCACTGACTGGTATTTTAAGATTAGCTTGAATGTGCTTGCTTTGGAAACCACTCATCCACCTCTGCTTTTTTCAAATGAAAACATAAAAAACTCTGTTCTACCTGCATATGTTTGAGGAATAGATCAAATGTCAATTGTATCTCCTTTCCACCAGCTAAAGCAGTTTTGCATGACATTTGGTTCACATGCATACAATTATAGTCCCCCCCCCACCAAATTTTTTCGGGCTTCCGGTTTTAAACCCCTTGAACTTTTTCCAAACCCCTTAAACTTGCTTTTTTTTTTTTTTGTTTTTTGAAGTTAAAAACCTTGATTAAAATTATTGTTTCGGCAAGGAGGGGAGTACTGTATGGCTATATCAAAGCCCAATACTATAGATGAGGTAGGTGAGAAATTATTTTAACCAAGTTTAAGACTGAGAGAGAATGCATTTTATTGTAGCATGAATTTTCTATCTCTTTTTAGGAGCAAAAAGAAAATCCAATCTAAGCCTGCTGGAATTTCTGAGTGACTCAACCTATGCATTGCACCCCATGAGCCCATTTCATGAACATAGTGTGACTATCATGTGTGTGTCGAGAGCTTGCGAGAGATCTCAAGACTGCGATGTTTGTGTCTCTATGTGATTGCTTGCCAACTGTTCTGCCTGCAATTTGTGAGCTGCAAGCAAATATGAAAGAAATGCGATTGAGTTTTATCCTGCATATGATTGACTGCCTTAGTTTTTGTTTAATGCTTGTCAAATTTAGCATACAAGGATGATTTTTCTCTTTATCCACAAATTAATTATAGGCATAGATTATAGGCAGAGCAGTCAAAGGCAAACATTTTTGTGGTGTTCTTTACAAGATGCCAGCATTGCGGTCCGATGCAATATTACAAATATGCCGCAGTTGCAACACTTTGACGATACTCATAACAGCATGCATTTAGCTTGATTAGAAAAAGTACACTGTGACTGATCAAGATGGAGGATGCCAGGATAACCTGGGTTTAACATTCAATTGCAGTCTATTGTGTTATCTGCAAACATGCAGTGTCATTAGTGAGAGATGCATTTCTGCCCTCCAATCATTACTAACTCTCCTGTAAGGCACTGTGGAGCTCACAGTTCAACAGCGAGCACATTGAGTGTGAGAGGTTTCATGCATAGTGCCTGTTGCAGTATGCCATACTGGCAAACTAAGTTGATCAACAATTAGTGACTCCAAATCTAGAGGTTATAAAAAGAAGAAAAACTCAGTTTTTAAAACAGTTTACAATGAAACAAAGGCTATCTAAGTGTAGAACTTCCTAAGATTAAAAGACTAAAATCGTTTGCCTTTAAGTATTCTTTGAGTTCTCTCATTTCCAACAGACATACTGTATTCTATTTAAAAAGCTGCATGACTCTGTTTTTCATCCCAGTCAGTAGAACAAGAAAGCAAGTTATTAACATTTTAATTTACCCCTGAATGAACTTAGACCAAAAAAATGGAGACAAAGATTAAATAGCCAAGATAATTATCCCAAAAAATATTACCCACAAAAAAATGTGGGGTTGAAGAACGGATAATGTTATTGCTTAAGTTATTACTTACATTCTAATACATTTTATTCTGTGGGTTAAAGGGTTCGCATTGGACCATCTTTGGCGTTTAATCACAATTAGAAATGCTTCAGTATTGAAAGTGAAGGTTGTTGAACACTCTTTATCATCTTTTGCAATTAAAAATTTCTAATTGGAGATTCTCTGGAATGTCAGCTCCTACAGCATAGCCTCTTGAGTATCTTCTTTAACATTTAGGAAACATAGAGGTCAGCTGGTTGGGGACTAGAACACTGCCCCTCCAGTACACTGCATAGTTTAAATTTCACCTGCAGGACTCATCTCCATGAGCGAGCAATGTTATTTGTTTTTATCTGCTCATCTAATTGAGTTTGATTTCAAATAGAACATGTGTTTCTAGGGCACATTAATTCAGGTTTTACCGTAACAGCTAGATTATTATTTATATGCATTTAATCTATATAAATCTAGTTTTCTTAATTTTATACAAATAAAAGGGAGAAGAATAAGAGAAGGAATAAAAAAGAAAGAGGAAGAGGATTTTATTCCATGTGAGGAATCTACACATTGATCATGAACAAATGAATTTGGAGGCTTTGATAAAGGAATTCAAAGCTTTAATATACTGTACATTAAACATATCAGGCACGGAGAGTTACAATCTCACCATTTTATGTATACTGTCCCCCAAAGGCAAAACTAAGGCACACTAGGGAGCCATATACAGTAGAAGGAATATTCTGTGGAAGACAACATGAAGACATTTAGCAGCTCTAACTATTGAGAATCTCGATTTAATCTACTGCATCTTTACTTAAGAAACAAAACTAAAAAAATTTAAGTAAATTACATTTCAAAGAAAATTATACAAACAACAAACAATAACCTGAATCATTTTTTTAAGCTAATATAACAGCAGCTTCTTTAATGAGAGCAAAGGGCACTGTGTCAGGAAGTATTAGAACAAATTTAACTGTGAACCTGTAACGAACAGTTCTTTCTGGACCCTATGCGGACGACACAATCCAAAGAAGTGGGGAAACAATGGGAAAACGTCATGCAGGAATACGGGTCTGAAAACAGGGGGGCGTGTCCAAAGTGCGCTGGTGCACGGGGGAGGTGTGGCCGAGGTGACCAATCCAAAAGAATAATCCTTTTAGAGTATCCAAAACACAAGGGTAAGTCCAAAACCAGGAGATCCATCAAAACAAGGAATTAAAACCAGAAACCAGGTCGGAACCGGCGGACAGGGAACAGGAACGGGAACAGAGATTAAAACCTTAACGGGACCAGGCGCTTCCAGGTCTCGGACTCGCACAGTATGGAAACCAGATGCAGAGCCTGGATGAGCGTCAGCGCCTGGCTTTTAAGGTGGGCTGGGAATAGGGATCAGGTGCACAGAATAAAGTCTTAAGTGAAAGGGCTGGAGCACCCTTAAGGAGGGGGAACTATAATCGTGACAGAACCCCAAAGGGAGAAGAACTCATAAAGTACTCCTGACAGGACATCCTAAAATAGTTTTGTTTCCCCAAAAGTGACTAATGTGTCACCAACTATATTTAGGAAAACTAACCCAATGAAACTTAATTCTGTAGTAGCAGAACTCAATACCATTATATTATGTCTTTAAAAATGCTATATTGTCTTTAATGTTTTTGGTGCTGTTGGGAAGAACAGCACCAAATAAACTTTTGGCTTCATAAACTTTTGTTGAATACAGTATCTTGTTGCTTTATCATAATGCTTTTCTAGCAAAAGTCTCTAGTTAATGTGCTCAAGAACATTGTTGTACAAAACCAGCCCTTGTCACGTTGGTGGATCACTGCTCCTGAAAACCTAAAACCCTACCTACAATATACAATTAAATCTACACTCCTGTAGGAATCACTGGGGTTTCAAGTTAAAGAACATTTCGAATACAGGTCTCTTAGTGTCTAACATTCTTCTTCTTCAGAGCATTCTTGGAAAGATGACATCTAAAGATCTTGTTATGGGTGATAATGATGTTTGTAAAATAGAAAGTGTTTTCAAGTGACATGATTTGGGTAGAGCCTCCATCTGGAGCACAGTATGTGTCCCACAGCCTGAGGATCCCAAGTGTGAAATCAGACTCCGCCTCTTGCATGCTGTGGCTTAGAGACTGCACTGATGGTGTAATTAATAAAAGTCGAATGCTTTGGAGACTGGGGAAGCTGGAATCTGCTGGGGGACCCCTGGCTAGCCCAAGAACAGTAACGCAGAACTTCCAGCCTTTTGACATCAAGCTGTGTGCTGCTTTCTTTGTGCCTTCACAATAAGAGCAGTGTTCAGCACAAAGACATACAAAGTACTATATATTCATAAACCGCTCATCTTAGAAATAATCTTTATAGAATTTGACTTTATGTGATGTACATTTTAAATAAATTAAAGATAATATAAAATAATATATGGTACAAATTACTAATTTAAGGTTTAACAGACTCTGGATTTAACAGACAAAATCCGTTAAAGCTATATTTTGCCTGTAAAATCAGAAACACTGGATTTTCCCCCACAACAAAAGGAGAAATAATAAAATATTGTAAAAATAAATACCATATAAATTTAAAATTCAGTAATATCAATGGTGCCCTATTAGGATAGGTCAATTGTTTATGATGGATGTCGGTTGTGTTTCATGTGTAAGTGAATTTATATATTTACATTCATTAAATAAAGAGCTTGTATATTCATGATTAAAAGGCACAGGAACAATTTTCAATTAAGCAATTGTTAAAAAAATAAGTTAAAAGATCCAGAAAGAACATATATTCAATAGAATAGATATTTTAGTGTGTATTGAGGCTGGAAAACTGTAATTCAACATAATTTAATGGACAATCAGCAATAACAGATACTCATTTTCCCTTATAAGTCTATTAAACTAAGTAAATGTATGACAAAATTGCATAATATATTCTATAAAATATATTGCATAAAAAGAGCATGCTTTTTGTCTACTTAATTACTTGTGCTATATTTATTTTGTAAGACATACACTGTAATTTTGTTTCTACCTTGATTGTTATAAATGTTCTATATTATTTCTACATATTTTTAAACAAGTATGTATAAACCTGAAATAAATTAACCAAATTAATTACTAAAACTGAATTTGCAATTTAATTCTTTAAAAC